GCATTAGTTTGATATTATTAGGATCATCATGGTTAACTTAATTTGAAGAAGGACACACATTTGTAATACAATGTGGCAAGCTGGTTATGATCGATTAACTAACAGAGTAGTTGCATACAAACTACACCCTATTATTATTATTATTATTATTATTATTATTATTAGCAGTAGTAGTAGTAGTAGTAGTAGTAGTAATGGTAGTAGTAGTAGTAGTATTACCTATAGCACTGTGTGAACATACTACTCAATTGTTGTGAACAAACAAAGCTTAAGAGAAAAAAAAATCCATATCGTTTAATTGATTTTTTAAAGCTTGTGTGAACAAGTACATACATATACATGTAGGGTAGGTAGGTAGGTCACTGGTCACTGAATTTCTTGACTAATCAGAAAAAACAATGCATACTGAAGACCAAATAAATTATTGTAATGATTATTATTATTATAGGCAATTAAACACAAAGATCTTTAATAAAGTTGAACTATGGTATGCCTAATGGTAGAAACCTATGATGCATGTTTTATCCCATTTAGGATTGATTCATCAGTTGAGTAGACCAGTAATTTCAATATTGATATTCGTATAGATTGTGAGATTTAAATGCGTAGTAATCTTTTTTTTTGAATCAAACAAACCAATGGGTTATCATCTATCGTCTAAGCTACTGAATTCAGATAGCCAATAATTTAAAGTTATCAAGTATTCCTGTTATAGATGTCTTTGAAGGAATGCTTGTATATCCTGGGATAACCGAGTAAGCGATGCTGTAGTTAGGAAACAAGTACTAGGTAGGGATGGCAGATTAATTGATAAGGCATTGAAACTCCATCAGTTGGGGTGAATTGGACATGCCTCGACGAGCTATGTTTTCTGGTGTAGGAAGAAAGTTGGAAGAAAGCTAGGGGCGGAGAGACCAAAACATGACAGAAATCCATGAAGTCACTGACAAGTAGACTGAGTCATGTTGGTAGGTATCGACTACCTGGTTGGGTTCTAGACAGACAGATACAACGCAGAACTTCGTACAAGAGTACATCAGTCCACGTTGCCATACCACATTAGCACTGAGATGTAACTATCAGTTCAAATCCAAGAGTGATAGCTATAGTAGAAGTATTTAGCAGTAATGGAGAAGATTAGGCTTCGAAGACATCGTTCGAGAAGTATGATTCAGTGAGATAACTTAAGAAAGAGAAAGATAGAGATGATGACGAATTTAGAAGGTTAGGATTTGAGAGAAAACAATGAATGAATGCATCTGAGCCATTGCAAACAATTTTGAGCCGTGTCATTCAAGGTCTCTAAGCATTAGTAACATACGTCTTGCGGAGCCTAACCAGATAGCCTACGTCCACAAACATCACTCAGTCCACATGTCACTGACTTCATGGATTTGTGTCATGTTTTGGTTTGCCCGCCCCTAGCTTGCTTCCAACTTTCTGCTACACCACAAATCATAGCTCGTCGAGATAGTCGGTGGTTAGGCATACGTAACATATGTCCCAACCACCTGAACTGATGAAGTTTCAGTACTTTATCTATGGTTCTGCTATCTCTACGAACTGCTGCGCAATACACTCGTCCTTTGATTAGCAAACGGAGATCTCGCCTGCGCCATAGGTGACGCAACTTGGCAAAAGCCAATCGGTCTACCCGTCCGCCTACTTAACCCCCTATCACTAGATTAGGTGCTGATGTAACCCAATCTTGAAGCAACATATTGCATTTCCAGGGGGAAAACCGCATCCTGAACATTCTTGCATTGTTGCTTAGGGTTGTCAGAAGAATCTGCATTTTGTCATTGTCCTTACCGAATAGGATTATGTCATCAGCACATTCTAAGTCAGCAAGCGTGTCTCCTGAAGAGTCAGACGATGATAATGTTAACTCTAAAAGCATATCTACGACAAAGTTAAACAAGAATGGAGAGAGTGGACAGACCCGACGGATACCTTTCGAAGTAGTCAATTCTGATGACATTTCGACATGAGCTCTCACTCGACCAGTGGTGTTCGAGTAGAGAGCTTGTATAAGATTATTGTACTTCTCTGGTACACCTTTTAATGACAGACAGTGGCACAGAACCTCACGATCCGCTGAGTCGAATGCCGTACGTACGTACGAAGTTATACGATGCTGATTGGTTGATTGATTCATAGTATGTTGGTATGAACTAAGTTCGTAGGTGTAGAATATTTGGTTAGTTTGTACGATAGGGGTTAGTCGTTGAGATAAGAAAGTTATTAAGAGGTAGGAGGAGGATTTTATTATAACCAATTCAGCCTCGTGTGTTGTTACAGGTATGAAGGTGGACATATTTCTTGAGGAACCTGAAAAAGAAGTTACGACGTGACCGCAGAGCCCAAGGGACAACTGCTTAAGGTCGGTAACAAACGGACATTTTATGGGAAGTTTAAGAGTTGTGTTACCTCCACTCTTCAAAAGGCCTTACCACCGGAGATGGAAATACGTGAGGGAGGGGGGGCATCTTTAATATCAACAGTTTTTACACTTTTCATTCCGTTGTGAGGAAGTATTGCTGCAGATCTTGGTTGTCTGGGAGAAAAACACCCTACTTCTGTCACACCCCTATGCAGTCAGCAGTACAAGTGTTGCGTATGCCCAACCACCGACCGCCTCGTCGAGCTTTGTTTTGTAGTGTAGGAATAGGTTGGAAGAAAGTTAGGGGCGGCCAAACCAAAACATGACAGAAATCCATGAAGTCACTGACAAGTGGACTTAGCCATGTTGGTGATTGTCGACTACCTGGTTGGGGTCTGCGAGATGATAATAATCGATGGTTAGAGACCTTGAATGACATGGCTCAAAATCGTTTGCAATGGCGCAGGTGTATCCATTCTTTGACTTCTCTCAAATCCTAATGTTCGGGATTCTTCAACACCTCTAGTTTTGACTTTCTAAACTTTTATCATTAAATCATACTTCTTGAATAATATCTTCGAATCCTAACCTCTCCGATTACTCCTAATACCCTTACTACCTCTTCTACTATTGGATTTGAATTGACAATTATATCTCTGTGCTGATGTGGTATGTGGCAACATGAACTGATGTACTTGCGTACAAAGTTCTACGTTGCATCTGACTGAGTGACTGACTGACAGCAGTACAAGTTCGTCCTCAGACCTTGAGTTGCGTCTTTTAGTCTTACCGTTCTCCTCCGATCGACCTGCCTGACATGGTAGAACCTAAAAGAACGTATATTTCAGCCAATATAACTCGGTTCGGTCATCACGATACAGGGGCAAGTCCGACTACCACGCCAAGGTGTAGAAGCGCTACAGTCGGGCTTTGGTATGGATGACAATCTCAAAAGTTATGCGCTCCCACACTATGCACCTTATTGCATCCATCATATTCGATACAAAAATGAGGAAAAGTTAGTTCAAAATAATACGAAAATTAAAGCAAAACATAATATATAATTAAAACACAAACCCTTTTAAAATGTGGACTTGTTTTCTCTTGCCAACCAGCACCACCAGCAGCTTGTCGTTGATCTGGTATACCACTATCACGTGTAACCCAACGACAAAATCCACATGCTAGAAAATATGCTTTTTGTGCTGTTGTACGACCTGGTTCCTCAGGTTTTGCATGAACAACAGCCGTCGCACGTGTAGATAGTGTATGACCACAACTTGGACAATCAAAACAATTACCACAACGATGTTTACGCATTTTCGCTTCGGCACTTGCCATATTTTCAAGACAATTAGGACAATAATAAGAATCCACCTAAGTAGTTAGTTAAATAGGACAAAATGATTTGATGAGTAGTATATATGCATGACAATAAAAAAAATACATTGCATAGTTTATATCATAGACTGACTGGCCTACCTTAGTTAAACAGTGAAGTTAGATATACACTACGTCAAGGTGTGAGGCAGTTAGTCAACTGCAACGAGGGAGTCGGTACGTACATTCATCAGTTCAAATTGCCACACTACATTAGCATAGTATGATTAATTTGATTTCGTGTGCTGTTACGAGTATGAGAGAGGATGCCATTTCCCGGTTGCCTACACCATGGGAGGCCATCAGTGATATTGGCAGGCGACTGTGCAATATCACGAATTGACTGAAGTTAAAGATACAAACTAATGGATCCTAAATCAGCATTCTGAGGGTCAGTTGCTCGCCAAGATATCTGAAAGTCCTGGTTCCAGTTGTCAGTAGGATTGTGAAGGCAAATACGAGGAGACAAACAGCTATCCAAAGGTTCCTGGTTTTTTAATGGTTATCTAATTAATTAAGGTTAATCTGTAATGTAAATTATAACACTTAACAAAATTCATAAACTTCCCTCAGTAAAAAAAAGCATTTTACAGTACTTTGCTTTCATTGAGTTGATTGGACGTGCAAACAGTTCAGTGATTACCTCTATGAATGTAGTAACACCGGGTGTAACAGATTCGAATCCCTAGATGGTTGTGGAGCTTTCATTGTTCTTCTGAACAACATCATCAGCACAAACTTCAGATAGAAGAAGTGAAGCATTCGAATTTCTCCACAACTGACCTGTAGCTTGTTCTGCTAACCTCGATCTTGATTGGTTGCTGTTGACCTTAAACCTGTCGTTGTTTGCACCTTTGTTTTGATTGCATCCCCCTTTTTTATCTGTTTCTTGATCCTATGTCACCTATGACTTTCCTGATTGGTTGATAAATTGGGTCAATGTCGATGTGTTTGTTGATTGCTGATTGACCTGAGTGCCATGCTTCAATTCTATCTGAAGTTTGTGCTGATGATGTTGTTCAGCAGGAGAACAATGAAAGCTCCACAACCAAAACACCCAGCTCAGAGAACCAAACACCACTACCACCACAATCATCCAACTGAGCTACAAATCTTTTCCACCAATCCCTAGATGCAATATTTCACTGCACAGTTCAAGTGAAATGAAGTAGAGGTTTAACAAGACTGAGTTATTGATTTAAAACAAAACTTTGTCGCAAAAAAAAACTAGTTGATATCACTTGGAATCCTACAAAATAGTGTGACTTAGAGCTGTTACGGGTATGAGGGCGGTTGTCACTTCCCGGCTGCCCACACCGTGGAAGGTTGTTTCTTGAGGGACCTGAAAAGGAAGATAGATTAGTGTTGGTCTTGGAGACCTGGGAGCGTGATCGCAGAGTCCAAGGGACAACTGCTTGAGGCCGGTCATGCACGGCCTTTTTATGAAAGGATTGTTGAGTATTAGCTCCGCTCTTAAAGGCCCTTAGTGGGCAACCTTACCGACGGAGAGGGAAATCCGTGAGGTAGGGGAGGTGTGACATTTTTAAGGCCGACCTTTCCTAGCCCTTCCTTCCTTGTGAGAAGGCAGCATCGCTGCAGAATGCTGGTTGTCCGAGGGAAACACCTTACTGCTGTCACACCCCTCTGCAGTCAGCAGTACTTCGCCCTCAGACCTTGGGTAGCTGCTTTTAGTCTCATCGTTCTCCAATCGACCTGCCTGGCATGGTAGGACCTGCAGGAACATATGTTCCAGCCAGTATAGCTCGGTTGGGTCATCACGATAGGCAAGCCCGACCACCACGTCAAGGTAGCAGCTACGGTCGGGTGACTTAAAGCTGGGCACATAAAATCACTACTTATTATATAGATTAGATTATCATTTAGTAGTAACTTTACTATCGGCTCTACAAAAAAATCCAGGTCGTTAAAGAATACAGTCGACAGGTATTCTCAACCTACTGTATGGCATAACGCTGCTCCACTACCCTTCAGATTAGACCTGTAGGTCAAATACTCGAGGAGTGACCCCTTGAGACAACTACTACCAGCCCAAGTTTAAGCAACCGGATAGTAACCCAGCTAATCCACAAACAAATTCACTGATATATATATATATATATATATATGCAAAGAAACTCACCTCATGTGAAACACAATCCGGACATCGAAGGCATAAACAATGACGACAGAAATAAAGTGTACACAGCGGTTTTATTTGTTTACAGGAACATAATAAATTGCATTTATCTAATTCCAAGTAGGTTGCCATATTGTTCAGTTGAAAAAAAACAGAAATGTATCAACGTATGTATCAAGCTAAACTCGAGTACAAATGATGCTGTGTAAAAAAAAAAGAAATAAGAAAAATAAAACATTGAATTACT